GCATGAGGTCATGTATGAATAAAAGCAAACTACCTAAGTCTTGCCAGCTGCCCCTCCCCTCCCCCCAGTTATTTCAAACAAAGTAATTTCCTTTTAATTACACAGCTTAGTACATGTAGAAATACAGCTTATTCTCCATGTAAATTCATATCAAAAGTTCAGTCCTAATTAGATCATAGGACAAAAATTAGGCTGTAGGATTTGCCACTGATGTGTCAAGAGCTTAGAATCCACTGGTGAAACTCTCAGGTTTTTTATAGATGTAGGCTCAGGTGGAAACTCGAACAACTCCTCATCAAGTTGTTGCATGAATGTTTTGTGATACAGCCTATTGCAGTCAGTTGGAAAGGAGCTGCTTGCTTTGGCATGATGGCACAATGGACAAGCAAAGCTGTTGGCAGTTCTCATTAGTAAGTAAAGATGCAACCTGAATTAATACCATCATATCTAACTAGAGGTCAGTGCAGATTAAAGTGTGAACCAATACATTTTAGAACCAATTTAAATACTTGTGAACTTGCACTTAATGCAGGGATGTATTATATGCCTCCATGAAGAAAGAGACAGAGATAAAAGAATTAATTCAGAGCAAGCCTGGGATAGAATCAGGGTCAAATATCCCAAGTTTTCAAGGTATTAGACGAGAGAAAAGATCATCTGGCATTGTGCTTGAGGCTAAACTGGCTCTTGGGGATGCCATCCGACTGGGTGGCTGGCTGGCTGCTCCAGAAATCAGCAGTCCTACATCTCCTTTGCATCCACACTGGTGCTTATCTGGTCTCACAGGGAGCTGGCCCAGACACAATGAGTCAGTGTTCACCTGTGCTGGCCTGCGGGAAGTAATGGCAAGGTATGAGAAATGGGACTACCCCCTTCAGCAGCAGGTAGCCATTACAGCAGCTTAAATGTAGTGCAAGAACTTCACCAAAGTAAAATGGCAGCTCCCTATCTCATAGGTGTGTTGTAAAGAGGAACACAAAGATTATTAGGTACTCCAAGTTTCCAGTGAAGGCAGATTTCCTCTAATAATTCAAAAAGGTCTTTCCCCCCATTGAGAAAGCTGTGGAAAATGGCAAAGTGATTCAAGTATTTGCATTTTCGACTCAAATATTTGTCATTCAGAGTCTCTTGTATATACATCTCCCAAGCAGAAGACATTGAGCATTTTCTTCTGGGCTGCCTGAATACTCACCAGGTTTCCAGAGAATTTCAGCCTGCAGAGTCACCCAAACAGCAAGGGGGAGGCAGCATTTGGGGGTATGTAATGCAGTTTTTGGCTAAATAATAATCTAACTTCTTCCTTAGTCAGGCTGACTTCCAAGGTAAAGTTCAGCTACACAAGGAAAGGACTCCTGTGGTTACAGAAATTAAACAGTATATGCCTCCTATAAAATTAGTTGAAAAGGATGTCTGGATACATCCAAACCTAAAAGCTTTTCCTCTTCACAACAAGGACACCAAACCAGAGCCCAAAACATCACTTGCCACAAGCTATGAAACATCGTTTCAGTTTTCTGAAGTTTTCAGTGGTTCGAAGACCTGATTCAACTTCATCACTGTAGGGAAGTGCTCAAGTCCCTCTGCTTGTTTAAGTATACAATAAACACTTTGAGTAAATTCTGGAGGATGAGAAGGGATGGTCAGCAGAAGGTGATAAGACAGTCTGCTCACAAGCCAAAATTACTGAGCTTATTAACACTAGACTAGACAATGAAGAACTACTGGAAAGCCTAATAAACCGGACAGCATAAGAGTAAATTTGCTGTAGGTAAGATTATGAAGAGGTGCTTTCAGAGGAGCAATTTAAAATTACTCATACATGCTGATTTCTAAACTAGTTGTTGTTTCTTAGAAAAAGTTTAAGCATGATCCTCAGCTGTATAACAAGGATGTTTTCTAAATGTGCAGAAATGTAAAGAAGATATTAGCCTGTACTGAGAAGTGGATAAAAAATATAGTAAAATATTACAGACCCAATACATGTATACGTTTTCCATTCATATATGACCTCACCTTTACTCCAGAATTCAGTTTATGAGAAAAAAAAATCTACTCCTGAAAATACACAGTTGAAGGAGATGAACTGAAAAGAATTCAAGTAAGAGGGTAAGAGATAAGAGAATTCTTCCAGAGAGGAAGAGGTTAAAAAGATAGAAGGTCAAATTAGACTAAATTTACTAGTGGTAGCAGCAGAGTATGGGAATGTCAAGAAAGGAATGTTATTGAAATAGCTCCTTTTCTGCTCTCCAATCATGTTCCATTTCCCATTGTGGGATCTGTGAGTTAACTTAGGTTCCTATGCAGTATTTTGTAGAAGGGATGAGAGAGCTTATAGCTCCAGACAGAGCTATGCTTATTCTTTTATAAATTGTTTTGCAAGTACACACTATAGTTTGTGGTGTGGAATTTTTATGTACTGAAGCTGGCATTACTGTAAAGTTCAGATCTTCAGACAGGAGGATATCCTTTAGAGACCATCAGATTAGATTGACTGATTGGCTGTTCCATACAAAAAGCCAGTCTTTTGGCTTTTACAGCAACATGATTTATATCACAGAAACATAGAATGTCTTGGGTTGGAAGGGACCTTAAAGATCATCCAGTTCCAACCCCCCTGCCCCAGGCAGGGCCCCCTTCCCCCAGCCCAGGGTGCTCCCAGCCCTGTCCAACCTGGCCTTGAACCCTTCCAGGGAGGGGGCACCCACAGCTTCTCTGAGCAACTTGTTCCTTTGACTCACTATCCTTGTCATAAATAATTTCTTCCTTATATCTAATCTAAATCTACCCTCTTTCAGTTTAAAATGCTTAACCCTCATCCTATCCCTACACTCCCTGACAAAGAGTCCCTCCCCACCTTCCCTGTACCCCCTTTAAGCACTGGAAGGCTGCTATAAGGTCTCCCCACAGCCTTCTCTTCTCCAGGCTGAACAACCCCAACTCTCTCAGCTTGTCCTCATAGGGGAGGTGCTTCAGCCCCCTGATCAACTTTGTGGCCTCCTCTGCACCCGCTCGAGCAGGTCCATGTCCTTCTCATGTTGGGGGCCTCAGAGTTGGACCCAGCACTGCAGATGGGGTCTCACAAGAGCAGAGTAGAGGGGGAGAACCACCTTCCTCAACCTGCTGGTCACACAGGATACAGTTGGCTTTCTGGGATGCGAGCGCACATTGCCAGGTCATGGTTTGCTTCTCATCAACTGTTCTGCATTTCTGTAACCTTTTATGCATTGTATGTTCTTTTGGTGTTTCGTTCACCTACTTTGAATTCATACTTCAAGTGTGGGCTTCCCTGCAGGAACTTATGCCAAAGTTTACAGTAGCATAAACGTGTAGTTTCACAAGGAGGTTGAGTTTATCTGTTGTGGAAAATGGAGAGGAAAGGCATCCAACTTCAGAGGTAGTGAATTTCAAAGTTTTTTCTTCCCTTGGACACCCTTCATAGAAATCTCTCAGATACAGTCCACCAAACACAAATATTCCTGGGCCAAAGGCTGAAAATTACTATGATAAAGAGTTAAAAGGAAGTAAGTGTGCAATTGAACCCAATTAGCCATTCTCACAGTAAGGGGGGGAAAGAGGGGGAAGAGAGACAGCACAACATTTTAAACCGAACATTTAAATGCTCAATAACCCTTCTATTGCAACATATAATTAGCCTGTTGAACACCTTCCCACAGGATATTGTTGTACTATATAGTTTAGTGAATACAACTGTAGGTATTCCTTGTTTTTAATGTACCCAAGGTAAATTCTATGGCTTCTAGCATGACAACAACCAGCTTGTACTTCTGTTGTAAATCCCATTGTATATCTCCCACCCAACACAGATACTGTGCAACTGGTTTCAGTGTGTAAGTGAATCATTGGAGCATTTCATATTAACCATGGTCAAATACATGGTTTTGGGCTAGGGAAAGTGTTGCTGCTGTGGCAATTTTGACCTCCCAAGACCTACTTAGTACAAGTGATCCCCTCCATCCTTCCTCTTTCACTTACTCAGGAGGATGTCTATTGCCATTCCATGGTAAATCCAGTGAAAAATTTTTCCCAAGCTGTTAAGATTTTGAGCTGTCTCCTTAAAAAAATAAATATATATCAAAGACGAGGTGTTATTAGCTGAGTGGTAATAACAGGTCAGAAGATAACAAGATCTGTTTCTTTCTCGTCTTTCATTTAAACATTTCCATTTTTAAACAGACCAGCCAGCTCTGCTTGTAAGTTTTTAGCCATAAGGGGAGGTGGCTCAAGGTCTGTCAGCATGATAGGTCTTGTCTCCATGGAGGTCTTGTTTCCATTTAGCCTAGAGATATTACCTTCCAAGGATTGCTTTAATAGAGAATTCATATTTTAAAGTTCAGAAGTATATGTGCTTTTTAAACTCTGTTTTTCTGATTTCTAATAGCTTCCTTGTTAGCAGGGAGGACTGTGATGCAGTGTTCAGCACCCTATTTCATGCTCCTGATCCCCAGCTCACTAAACCAGGAGCCAGTTCAACTGCTGCACACATGAAGAGGAGTATTTCAATTTGTACAGTGCCTCAGTAAAACCAAACCAACCAACCAACCAACCAACAAAAAATACTGAAACCCCACACAAGCATGTGTGCATGTGCACACACACACACGACTACAGTGGCTTATTTCACAAAAGAAAAAAAGACAGAGAAGGCCAGCTTAATATTGGTTGATTTAAAATTGTAAAAGGTTCACCACTATTTATGCTCTCAGGAGAGGCAATCACCAGCACTTAGCAAGCACTGTGCCTTTCTCCACACATCCCAAACCACCCTAGGGTACAATACCGTGCAATTCAAAATGTACACAGGTTCTGCACCTTCTCCAGAGGCACTTGGAACTAGCTATGGCCAAAAAGAGAGTACTGGACTTCAGTGTAAGTACTAGGTAAAAAAATACTCTGATATTTCAGTCCTTCCAAAGTAATTTAAACAAAAGCAGCAAAAGACACTTGAGAGGGGAAAAAAAAAAAAAAAAAAGCAAACTCACCATCCTGGAAACCAAGAACTCTATCCTAGATCCAAATTATGTCGTTGCTCAAGACATCAGCACTGTTCACTGTTAAAGGAGCACTTACTCTTGCTCCGGCTTTGAAAAACTCCGGCGTGCTCAGGGTTTGGGTAGGTGCTGGGCGCACACCTGGCGCGCCTCTCTCGCAGGGGTGCTGAGCAATGCCTGCTGGAATGTGCAGTGTAGCAGGTACCTGGCACCACTTGTTCAAACAGACAGGAAGGAGTGATGGAACTACATTACCCATAATTGCCTTCAGCTGGTTTATGATTACACCTGAAACCAGGAGAGGTGGTGTGGGAGTTTCGCCTTAGGGAGGAGAGACAGGAACGTAGAGGAGCAAAGAAAGAAGCGTGTGCTCCTTTTGTGCATCTGGAAGAGAGTTAGGGTTTTCTACTTTCACACGCCATATTGCAGGTATATTGAATTGCTCAGAGGGGAACGAAGGATGGCCTTCTGATAAGGGTCAAGGTTAGAAATAATTAGATTTATAGGTAATGAATACAGTGACGAAAATCCCATGAACCTGCATGACCGGTTTGGGCATCTCTCTGCAAGTGAGAGAATCAGACAACTGGGTATGAGGAAACAAATGAAGGAGGGGTGGCAGCGGCCTGAGAAGACATCTATAGAGGAGGGAAAGCAGAGGCATTTGGGAGGGTGGCGGGGAAACAGTTCCTTTTTGGCCCCATGAGCTTGAGGAAATAGCAAGTTTTCCCAGATGTTATACTGCAGATGTTTTTCTCAAGTGATTTCAGCATTTTGTAGCATAAAATCAATAAAGATTAGAAGGACAATGATTATAGCCACAGAGAGATAAGATAAATGGTCTTTGCACTGGGAATGTTATGGGGAGTTGGAGAAGAGATGATTTGCCCGTCCTGTTGTTATTTGCTACTTGTGTTTTTGTGGCACTTAAGACTCACACCTAAAACTCCCCTTTGATGAAAAGAGGCTTCGCAGGCTTTCTAAGCCTGCCTCCAAAAAGCTGAAGTATAAATCAAACAGGATAAAAAAGGGAGAAAGGTAGAAACCAGGTTGTTTATGTAGGACATAGTGTCAATATTGGTGGGCAATTTCCACCAAATAAGCTGTCTGCCAAAGTAAGCGGGTTTGTTTGACCAGGGCTGGTAGGAAAGCGGGGTGAAACTCAGCAAATAGTTTCACCTGGAAAAAAATGAAGTTGCAATTGTGCCAACGCCATTTCAACTAAATGGTCAATCCACTGCAGCACAATTCAGTTCCTTCAGAGAACTGAACACTTTCCCTTCTACCCTGTAATCCAGAAAATGGCCTTTCCCACCTGACCATGAGGGTGGGAATCTCTTCTAATTTGTATAATAAAGTAAGGCATTGACTGTGACAAAGATGAAAAAAGAGATGCCCCATCTCCAGATGCTTTAATCAACTAGACATATTGTTGAGACTGCTCTGTCCTGCTGTCAGAAGCAGGAGGTTAGAGGAACACAGCAGGATTATTCACTTTGTAATAAAACTACCTGTTACAGAAAAATTAAGTAATTTATACTCCTACTGTCTCTCTAAAGGTGTAGTTTAGAAATCCAAGCTCTGGAAATAGAAAATGTAGGACAGATGGAGCCCTGTCAGATACCAGGTGGAGAAAGGAAGAATTTCCAGAGACACTTAGTGGCTTACTTGGAGCTATTAAGAAAGCAAGTATTTAATTTTTGTTATATATTGCATTTTCGGGGGAGGGGGGGTGTTGTGGTAGGTACTGTCTATCACATGTATCTAATACTAATGATGACACACCAAACCTGTTGAAACTCAATGTTATACTAATATAACTTAATAATAAAATAAGATCTTGTTATCTTAAACTCTAAATTTCAGCCCCCTTTCTGTTATCTCAGACTACTCCTTAAAATTTCTATTTAAATAAGATACTTTTCCCCAGACTTCATTTCTCTGAATGGACCATTAGGTCACAGCAGAAATGTTGGTTCCCAGTAGAAGCATTTTCAGAGCCAGATGTTTTTGACAATCCATTCTTTTGATTCAGAGAATAATTTAAAGAGCAGTTGTGGTATTTTATCTTAAGCAGAAAGACTTTAAGTTTAGGCTGATGATTTTTAACATCGCTTTTTTATAGGGATGAATCAAACCTCTATCTATCTAATACGGCGCTCAATGGTTTCTCAGCTAGAAAATCACTATAGAGGATATTTCTACCAGCAGCTTTGTGGGACTCTGCAGGTGGGACCCTGCTGACCCCTGTAAAACATCTACAGGATTTCAGTTCACTTCTGGGCCTCAGAAAAGGACTTGAGTATTAGCATAGTCTATCTGGGTTTTCTGTACAAAGGTGACCAATTATTAGTTCCAACATTTTTATTAAATTCTGCTGCTTCTGTCTTGTTGCATAATGAAGTTTACCTTAAAGGCATCTAAAATAGGTGTTTAAAAGACAGCACTGCATACTCTGCTACCTCTCCAAAACCAGGTCTGACCAGTCAGCTTCCATTTCCAGACTCTGATGAAACCCACGCTCTGCAACAACTTTTCTTTGAACATCATTTGATGAGACACTGTGGTTTTCTGCAGTTTGGCTCATTTTCAAAGCAAAGACTTCCAGAAAGCAAATTTAGACTGTTAGGCCTTAGGAATGCTAAGTAGTATGTGGACAGTTAATAAGCAATTTTGTGTGTTTAATTAACTGAACTGTTTGCATACAGGGGAAACCCACATGCTGTACACACGGACAAAAGCAATAGCAGATGCTTGCAGGCTCATTCGGCAGTGTATTTTTCACATTTTTTGTTTGCTAAGATCAATCCATTTCTCAGATATCTTTCTGTCCTTGAAATCAATGGAATTTGGGGAGGAACATTTTGGGACAGAAGCAGGATCTATGAGGTTAATTTTGAGATGGCAAGTTTGGAAGCTGGGACCGCATGTATGTAGAAAGCCCTGGCTGAAAGCTGGACATGATGGGTCAGCCCACGTGAACGCAGCAACTAGTGTAGCGAGAGCAGAAGAGCTGGTCTGCAGCAACTAGGGCTGCCAACTCCGGGGCACAGGCAACATCACAGGACACTAACCTCACTTTGGAAGTGGGTGAATGCTGCCAAGCCACATCCTTTGGCTTTTGCAACCTTACTGGTAATGGTTGGCAGGATCCTGGAAATCTTGAGAGCATAAACAGTCACATTCTGGCTTGACATAACATAACATAACATAACATAACATAACATAACATAACATAACATAACATAACATAACGTAATGTAACATAATGTAACAGAATGGAACTTAACATAATATAACATAACATAATATATATGGGAAGTGGCAGCCATGTCTTCACTTTTCATTTGATTACAGTATGTGCTTTCCACTTCATGGAATTTTTCCTTTTTGTTTGTTTAAATAACTACATATTTTGACAGCTAAACCTAGCAATGACTGCAGGGTCAAAGGGCTCACTTAGATTATGTCTGTAAACATGTCTTATTTGTCTGCAATAGAATGAATAGCTGGGGCAGAAAGTAGCATATCTTTTTGAACCTGATCTGATTTGCTGCAGGTCTCATCAGAAGAATGATAAGCACCAAGGTTTCTGTGTACATTGCATAATGTTCTCATCCTGTTTGTTTCAGTTGTTCATGAGAAAACAAATATGACCCCCCATCCATCAAACCGTTAGAAGAGGAGCACCATAAACCCTGGGCTACATGACAGTTACCTGTACGATTATTTCCAATTAAAATTAGCTGTAGCCACTATACCATGATTTATACATACATACATACACAAGGGGAAACAAAGGTACTACGTCAGGCCATTGTGGATATACAGAAGCCACTCAGACATGGTCAATTTAATTTTTTTCTCCCCCCGACTCCCCACCAGTGGAAGAAAAACTTCCATGGAAGAGAATATTCTAGCCAAAAATGTTTACATGTAGGGTATAGCTTGAGTATACCTCCCAATGAAATAACATTTAATAACCAAAGGAGGTGTGGGGGTGAAACTGGGTTTCTGCCAGGTCTATGCTAGAAAATGTTTAATACTATAGTTATGTTGGCAAAAGTGGTTTTGGCTGTTTTACTGATTCCAGAACCCTGAGTATAATCTATACCAGCAAAAGCACTTCTTCTGCCAGTTCTGTGTCCACATTAGGGCTGTTGCAGTATCACACGTGGCCAAAAATCACATTCCTAAGGGACATTACTTATACTAACAAAAGTTTCTAATACAAAGCAGGCCTTACAAACACTAATGAATACTCCACCCAGGCAAGCAAAACCACCTTTCCTGACAAATAGTGAACTAAAGCAATCAGAAAGCTTTTACTTTGTTTCTGAAGGGCAGGATATAGTTCTGGGCAATGTTAAACATCAGAAAAAACATTCTCAAAGCATATTCTCAGCCGGCCACCTCGTAGACTTTAGTCAAGGTGAAGACTTGGTTTAAGAACTTTGGCATCGCATTTTAATGAACACATAGAACCTGTGGCAACAGTAGCACAGTATGGGAAACTACAGTCAGAGTCTGTAGAAAAAATATGTACTGAAACTGCTGAAGGCAATAGACCAAAGTGAAAGAACACTATGTAGCATGGAAGTTAGCAAGGCAGATGTTATATCCAGCAGCAGAAGCTATATCTGTGTTTAGCATATCTGTTTGCACTCTGAAAAAAAGAAAATCAGTTCTCCATGGTGAGCTGGACCAAGAATTGAAATTTGTTTAAAAAAAAAAAAAAATGAAAAAAAATACCACCCAGAAAGTCCTAGTGAAAACACAGTTGTTCTGATTTGCATATATCAGCAACTCAAGGAAAATTATTGGTTTCCTCTAGTATCTATCTTAGTGAAGGAATGAGTATACCATGCCCTTATGCTGACTGAACATTAAATTATATTAAAAAGAGAATTTTTTTTTTTTTTCTGAAGAGGAAACTTTAAAGAGGATCATTCAATTGAAATATTAATATTAATAGGTAGCTGGCAAATTGGACTGAAGAACATCAGAGTAAGAACCTTCCTGAATGGTGAGCATATGGTTGTCAAAAGGGACTTGGAGGAAGAGCTCTGAAAGTGGTAGAGAAAGATCTCTTTCTCTCTTGAAACAGCAAGTAGGTT